ATAATGATTAGATCATGTTTATCGGCTCCTTGTTTAACTTCTTGTGGACACTCCTCAGACAACATAATTTTTTTTTAAGGACAAAAAATATGAAAAGAGGGAAACATCATAGACCTTTCTAAAATAAAAATAAAAATAAAAATCCATCAACTCTCAATTTTAAAAAGAAAATCATTTAAAAAAAATCTAAAGAGAAGAAGAATTTTTTTTTCTTCCCACCTGGTTTTTGGAGTCTACCATAAAATTTCGATTAAATTTGAATCACACACTACCAGGCGCATATAAGGTTGGTACTCTCTCAACATAATTTTTTATACTCAAAGTCGAGACCTCTGATTAAAAATTGAATAATTTCACCACTATACCACAATCCGTGTTGGTGAAGAGACGACTATTGATTAGAGTTAAATTTAATATTATAGTCTGCCTCTGTTATCGTTCTGTTTATTGATGTTATTATTTTATTTTCTTCATGATTTTTTATACGATTTCTTCATTACTGTATTTTATTCTTTTCTTATTAACATTGATATGTTTTATTTGAACTCAAGATTTATCCCAAAAAAACATTTTTACATACGTAAATCATTTATTACAATTTCTCAAATTAAATTTATTATTAAATATAAAATATAATAATGAATATTTATCTCAAATATTATTTATAAAAAAATATATAAAATTCAAAGTTAAAAAATATATACATACACTTCATATCATTATATATTTATTCATATAATTTCATATGATGATTTGAAAAATATGAAATCACACTCTATAATGTCAAATAATAAAATGTAATTAACATAAAATTATAATATTTAAACGCTAATTTTATTTTATAATATCATATCTATCGAATTATTTTTTTTCCGGCGTTTGAAGACATATGATAGTTGGAAGAGAGTTCAAATGATTGTATAAAGATGTCATGTCGGGTAAACAACCGACAACACGCACGTGCTCGTATGTTTCATGGGACCCACCCGCACGAACAATACAACCATTTATTTATTTTTTTAAAAAAAAAGTTATCGACATTATTAAGAATTAAGAATAATGTTTAAATAAACAAATTTAATAAAATAACGTAGGTGAAAATATTTCAAAATTATTTTCACACTTCTTGAAACAATCACCACCGTTATATTCCACTAATTTTTCATTGAGCCAAAAGTAAGTGTACATTTTGAATAAATTAACATTTTTTGTCTAGGTTCAATTGGTCTATAGTGGTCCACTTGTTACATTTGGTCCTACATTAAACTCAATTAATCAAGAATGTAATTATTTCAAATAGTCTTTTACAACAAATATAATATTTTTATTTTTAGTTAAATTTTTTGGGATAATGTACAAGTACCTTTTCAATCTATGCCTCAAATTTCAGAGTCACATTTATACTATATAAATTTAAATTAATCAAATCACTTTTTTTAAAAAAAAATTTCAGAATCACTTTTGAGTTATTATTTAACTTGAGTTATACGATATAAATTTAAATTAATCAAATCACTTTTTTTTTTATCAATAATTGGTGACTCTCTATCACACTAGCTATAGATAGCTTGTCTCCATTGTTATATTTAACTTTCCTCATTCACTCATCAATTTATTCAATGAATAATGATTTCAATGACATACTTTTGATCAATATTGTCAATGAATCATACAAGATAAAAATTAGTTCAAATTTCAATGGCTTCTCCAATTCTTCCTTTATTTCATTTTTTATGTGAAAATTTTTGAGATTTATATCAGCATTAAAATATTTATTTTTTAGGTGTAATGGTAAGTATAAATTCTTTAAAATTCTAAACCAAATTATATTTGAATAATAGAAATAAAATAATATAATTATTGTGAAAGATAAAATTGTTTAACCTCTTAAATATTAATGATGTTATATAAAAATAAAATTGAAGGAGTAACTAAAATTATATGCGCCACTTAAATAATTAAAAAGTTCAACTATTTGATTAGCTTATAGAAAAAATGCATATTTTTTCACATAGAAATGCATAACTTTTACATGATGTTGACACTAATGTCATTTGACAAAATTATCCTAAGGTGGTGTATTTAATTAGAAAGTAAAACACCACAATAATCCACCCCCACCCCTCCATTAAAATTGATTTTGACGATAAGAACAATATATTCGGTATAGTTTTATAGATAGGATTTAAAGATGGTGATAATCAATAAGTATACCGTCTTAAATCCATAGTGTAAGGGCAAAGAAGTTATTTCTGATATACGTTTTAACTGAAATAAAATTTGGTCAGAAATTAATACAAAAAGACTTCTAACAAAAAAAATCATTTCGATCCAATTTATTCTTAGAGTCAAGTAATTTTTTTAAAAAAAATGTTATGATAATAATATGAAGGAAAATAACATGCACTAATATTGAAAATAAGATAATAGAATAATAATAATTTAATAATAGAAATCAAATTAAAACATAACCTTTAAAATGTGATTGTAATGCACAAACAATTAAGGCTATGAATATGACTTCTTGTGTATTCCATTAGTTCCTCATTTATTTTTGCATAAAGATAAGAGGGGCCAATATTATTCAAGTGGGCAAAATATGGAGAAGAAACTCAAGTGTTTGTTGCAATCATGTATGATATGATTTGATGGTTGCCTAATATATGTCTCTTATGCAATTGAAGTTGAGATCTATGGTTTTACCAATAATTCAAATTTTATATATTTATGATTAGTAAAATATTTATACAATTATATCGCTTATTAATAGGTAAATAATAGTTATCTATTACTTTTCGATATAAGGTGAATATGACCTTTGTAGAGAACAAAATAAGAAAAATGATCAAACTTGAGTTGATTCACGTATAAAAAGAGAAGAGATGCAAATGTCTCGCTTAGAAGCGATTTGTGAGGGGTTATGTTGGTTGTAGCGGGCTTGAGAAGGAATATAGATAGACCTAATACGATATTTTGGGGTGAGGTAACGTGTCAAAATGTGACGTTTTTTAAATAATCGAAAATATAACTCGTGATATTAGATATATTTCTTTCCCATCCACAAAGTATTGGTATTCTTTTTCCCTTTATCTTTAGATTATTATTACTATTTGTTATTTATTCAACTTTGATATCCTATTATATCTTTTTGTTGCTTTCTTTTCATTGTTCGTTCTGTTGAGATCTATCACAAATAATATCTTCATCTTTTAAAAATAGATATAAGTTCTACCTATTTTTTTTTATCTAGCTTCTCGAAATCTTACCTATTAAATTACACTTAATTATTATTATAATTATATATTAATATTATTTTGTTAAACTTAAAATCTGAAAAGCTACTTTGTACTGTTACTCAAAAATCCATTTTCACTTAAATAATTATACATACATCACTATATATATATATATATAGTCAAGCCTGAACAACCAGAAATTAAATGTCACTTTAGCCATAAAGTCAGGTATGGCATTAATAATTCAGTCCACTTTCTTTCACCATGACATTAAGTTAGAAAGATAGTTAAAAACATATTTTCTTTTGAATTTTAAGAAATATCAATTAAAATAGAGATAATATCCAATTACCTCCCTAGCCTATACCCAATATCCTTGCGTTACACTTTATCTTTGATGAGGTTCTATTATCCCCTTCAATTTTTTTTTATGTAATTAATTACTACTTTCGTGCCTACGTGGCAATAATCGTGATTTCACCCATGTAGGGCGCGTGAGTGCAGATTGAGTGCAAATTTTGGCTAACAATGACCAATAAAAGTTAGCCACGTGTCAAAGCAATTTGAAAAAAAATTTAAAAATAAATTTTATTGTTTCTCTCAAAAGCAGTTCTTCTTCCTCTTTTGAAAAAATAACCCATTTTCATGGTTCTTCATTTTTGAAGAAGCTCCATCCATTTATCAAAATCCAACATCGAAAATTAACTATCAAACTCCAACATCGAAAATCAAATTATAGTTGGAAATCAAATTTCTAACCTTTGAAATCGATCCACATATGCAGCACTTTCCCTCTTTCTTTCCTTGTTACTTAATTTTTTTTGGTAAAATTAATTTGGAAAACATAAAACGCCAGCTTTTCAAACTTGGGAAGTGTAAAAGTTACTTTTTCGAAAGCTGAAAAAGTGGGTCCCAGCGCGTGTTGACAAACACATCGACCTTTCAAATTATTATTGCCACGTAGGCACGAAAGTGGTAATTAATTACTTAAAAAAAATTTGGAGGGGGTAATAGGACCTCATCAAAGATAAGGTGTGTCGCGGAGATTTTGGGTATAGAATAGGGGGTAATTGAGTATTATCCCATTAAAATAATAATTCAACTTTTTTTTTCAATTTAAAATATTACTTTTTCTCATTATATTAACTTTTTTCCATTTATTGAGTAAAATAGAAGTAAAATGAGATAATTAATTTATTATATTTTAATTTTTTTATTACGTTTAATAACTTGCAGATATTGAATTAATAATATTCTTAAGAAGTAATAAATAAAATGATAATTTTAATATATGACCTTCTATTATTATAAGTCGTCTTATTTATTAAAAAATGAATATTACTTAATAATAATGATAAAATAAGTATAAAATAAAAAAAATTAATTTTTAAACTAAATAAGTAAAAATAAATATATATATTTTTATGATATTAACAAAACACATCACAAGAAATGAGTAATTTGGCAAAGGCTGAAAGCACTTTCAACCTCCGCAAATCATTCATTATCTATTATTCTTAATAAGCACGATAAATAAAATGAATCGGAGATATTTGAAAAAGGAAATGGGGACCAAAACAAAAAGGACCATTGAGAATGGTGATAATATTTTTGGGGAGGCACAATCAATACATGATTTTATGATACAATAATTAGTACACCTTACACTCCATGTCATGATTGACTTAACTTTTTAATTTTTTTAATTTTGAAAGAATTTTTTTTAATATATTTTTTTCTATATTAACCCCTTTCATTGCATTTGCACCTTTACTCATCAATCTTTATACTAAATAAAGTCCTAACTTTTTTCTATGTTCTTTGAGAAAGAATTAATTTCCCTAAATTCTTCATATTTTCTACTTAGAAAAAACTTTTTTTTTTTTAGATTTTATTTTCAAGATACCTAAAGAAATTATATTAGAGAAAAGAAAAAGATGTTGGAAAATCAAGATTTGAGATTGAGTTTGAGTCTTAGTTTTTCAGAGAACAAAACAACAAATCCATTGCAGCTAAATTCTTGGATTGGCTCATTTCCTTCTTCAGGTTTGGATCTATAAATGTCTTATAAAAATTTATTATTATTCGAAAAGATTGTGATAGAATAAATAATATTCGTATATTCTTAATTACATATCTCAGTTTAAGTCTCATATATTAAAGTTTTGAATATAGATAGAAAAAAAGGATTTATGAAAAAACAATCTCTTTATAGTATAAAGGACAATTCATACTACTCAATCTTCGTATTTCATTATCAAATTATATTGAATATGTTTATTATTACTAATGTTAATTATAAAAAAAATTTAATTAGAGTCTATCGAAAATCGTCATTCTACCCGGTGGAAACATGAATTTGGGTGAAAAAGTGTGCAATTTTTTCTCTAAATTGTGTTAAGGATGTGCAAACTGAAAAAGAGGTCTAAATCTGAAACTTTATATATATACTCTTCGATTTAATTTATATGTCTTATTTTTTTTTAAGTACATAAGAATGTCATTCTTCTTTATTTAGTATCTTTTTAATTTTAATTTTCTTCGTAACACATTTAAGATCATAAAATTTATCTTTAACTTCAAAACCATACAACTATTATTTTTTATTGAAATTTCGTGTCAAATTAAAATAAGATAAATAAATTAAATCAGAAGAAATAATTTTTTTTTTCTCTAAAAACTTTCTAATAATCCAAATTTCAATTATTATTTTTCAGATAGGAATTTGGAGAAATGCAGAACATTTTTGAAGGGAATAGATGTGAACATAATACCAACAAATACAGAGGAAGAAGTTGGAGTTTCTTCACCAAATAGTAGTATTTCAAGTTTAAGTGGAAATAAAAGAAATGAAAGGGAAATAATTAATTGTTGTGATGAATTGGAAATTGAAAGAGAATGTTCTAGAAGTATTAGTGATGAAGAAGATGGAGAAACTTCTAGAAAAAAATTAAGACTTACTAAAGATCAGTCTATTGTTCTTGAAGAAAGTTTCAAAGAACACAATACTCTCAATCCAGTAAGTCTTTTTTTTAAAAAAATATGCCCGTCTAGATATCTCAATTCATTTATACTATATTATTTATCGCCTTTTTTAGCATAAATATTGGTTAATAATTTTTATTTATTTAACAGAAGCAAAAACAAGCTTTGGCAAAGAGGCTAGGATTGAGGCCTAGACAAGTGGAGGTTTGGTTCCAAAACAGGAGGGCAAGGTGAGAATAATATTCCTTCGATTTAATTTGATTGTCTCGTTTTAACTTGACACAAAATTATTATTTTTTTTAAAAAAATGTTATATCTCGCGATATTAAATTAAAAGTCTATAGAATATAGTAAAATATTTTTTTGATGTTATAACAACTGTCCAAATTGCAAAAAAGTCACATAAGTTAGTTGAGTGATTTATATAGTTTATATATATGTTACTATTAATTTTAACAATTGTATAGTTCAAATAGAAAATAATATTTGTCTTAGAATTTTTTTTTTAATGGATCAATCAATTTTATTTTTTTTAACAGGACAAAGTTGAAGCAAACTGAAGTAGACTGTGAGTTGTTGAAGAGATGTTGTGAAAATTTAACTGAAGAAAATAGGAGATTACAAAAAGAAGTTCAAGAGCTAAGGGCACTAAAACTATCACCTCAACTCTACATGCAAATGACCCCTCCAACCACCCTCACCATGTGCCCGTCCTGCGAGCGCGTCGCGGGCCCATCTGCTATGTCTGGGCCCGCGAGCATTGACATTCGGACCAACCAAATGGTCCTGGCCCGACAACGGCCCGTACCGTTTAATCTCTGGACCGCCTCCCCTGTCCCACATAGGCCCATCAATACCCTACACCCTAGGTCGTAATTTCGCCAACGACGGAAGGGCAATTCGGTCAAATGGGATTATTACACTAATTTTGGAAAATCCAAGTGTATCAATTTCTTTTTTCTCTTTTTAGTACAGTAAGTTGCAAATGGTGGGAACTAGAGAAGAGGACTTTAGATGTAAAGTTTAGCAAGTGATATATCTAATTATTCAACAAAAAAAAAAAAAAAGTTGCTAAGCTCAATGTCTTAGTTACCATCATTTCATTTCTTCTAAAAATTAAATTTATGCATGTATGTATTTTAATCCATGATGTATACACTAATCCACACATCACAAATTACGCTGAATTTGAACCATATATACAGTAATCTACACACCACAAATTACGCTTTTATCGCAAGAATTCGAGGTTTGAAGCTAAGTAGTAGCATATATCATTGCAAGGGTTGTTGATAGATCAACATTCAAAAATAATCTTTTGTTGCTGTGTAATATAATAGTTGTTGGTCTATCTGACACAACCTCTCTACCTCGCAAAGGTAGGGACAAGGTCTGCGTAAATCTTCCCCATCCCAAACCCTACATGTAAAATTACAGCGTATATGTTGTTGAAGTATATGTTGTGTACCTTCCTAAAAAAAAGATTACAAAATGTTATTAGTATTGCCCATAGCCTCATACTCCTTTATTCAAATGCATTTTTATTAATTTGGGTATTATTTTTTTTTATCAAATGAAGGGGTTTCATCGATGATACATCGGTATGTTCGAATCAGTCCAAGATTTATTTCTAAATATTTTCCATCTAAAAGTTGCATTATTTAGGAGTTATAACTTATAATCATCAAAATTTATAGGAATAATGGAAATAAACACAATGAAAGTATGAATAAATGAAGAACTAGTAAATATTGACACATCCATTTTTGTATAATAATAAGAAATAAATTTTAAAATATTGTCGAAAATGAGAAAATGTGAGAAGTTTGGGTGGTAAATACTCCTCCATTAATAAAATACTTTTTGTATGAAATTAAGTAATGTGAGGAGCAGTGTTTTAAAAGGTGGGGGCGTGAGGCAAGATGTAAGTCCCATAAATCTACCGGGCATAGTCTCATGTATATTCAATTTTATACTTTTATTACTAATAAAATAAGCAAAAATAAATATTTCAATGATTTATGATTTATGATTTTTATTTGAGCTAAGTATTATTAATCAATAACGAAGAAAAAAATATTATATTATTATTTGAGAAATATCATTACACCAATAATAAAAATATGATCTAAAATTAAAAAAAAATAAAAAAACAAATTAAAAATGTTTGGACGTACGTTTTTACGCCCATGACTTACGTTTTTATGTTTAGGACTTATGCCTTATGGATCTACGTTTTTAATTTAGGCCCCAGAGCATTTTTGGTACACCCCGCCCTGAGACGCGCCGCAAAAACGTTTTTGAGAACACTGGAGAGGAGTATTTTTAATTCTTGAAGGAATGAATCAATAATCTATGATACCTTGTTAGTATATGATATATATCACGTATCACAAGGATCGTGGATTATTTTTTTTTCAAAAAATGGTCAAAGTATCGTTAAACTATGTGAAATTGAACAAAAATATCAAGTTAATAGTTTGGTCTAAAAATATCTCTTCCAAAAACACCCCTACCACTAATAGTTTGATCTAAATGACAAAATAAAAATAGAAACAAGAAATAATCAAACTTATAATTACACCATTTAATTACTAGGCAATTCGTAGTCCCTCCCTGAGATTTGGTGAGTGTAATTAACCCCGTCAATAACACTCAATTACTTATTGACAAAGAAATTAAATGACCAAGCAAGATATACTAATTACACCAAATCGAGTTACCGGGTTGACTTCCAAACAACCCTAATTGTTTTGAAGTATTGAGAATAGTTATCATAATCAAAGATGCTTTGAAATCATCTGAACCTCATAGCAAAGATGTTACAGATAAGGTTTACAAGGTCATCAAGCTGAGTTTTGATTCTTTAGAATCTCCGGATAATGAATTATACTCTGAATCAAAGAAGCAAACATGTCAAGAATAAGAGAGGTGACATTCCAAGCTGTTTCTTGTATTGCTCCTTACATCCCATGGCTATTTCAACATATGATCTCATAAAGTGTTGGTGGGCAGAGGGGTTCCCTTGGTGTACATGACACATATGAAGAAGCTTACAACAGGGGAATGAATCACAATGATTGATAGTCTAAAAGATGCCTGCTTGCTACAAGAAGCTGATCACAGTGTGGATTATTATTATGTGAAGATGCATGATGTGGTAGAGTACACATAGAGAGTTGTTCTTGTGATTTCACACCAGCAGCAGCAGAAGAAGGAAGTATCAGTTGCATTTTGTCATCGGCTGCTGCAATGCAGCTCAAGATTAAGAACATTGAGGGAGCCATGGGAACACATAGAGGAACTTAAGCTCATCAATTGCTATGAAATAAAGGAGTTGCCTTTCTCTATTCAAACCTCCAATAAGATCAGGCTAATGAAAGGAACATCAGAATGGTGGAACCTACTGAAATGGGATAACAACAACTTCAAGTCAAATTTAGAGCATTGTTTCCTAAAGAAGTAAAACTGATGACAGGTGATATACCAATTAACTTTCAGATTTGTCATATATGTCAATGACACTAAGCATAAATGTACCATTCAAATGTTAACAAGAGCTTCACTTTGTGTTGCTTTTTCATTCAGGGAACTAAAAAGGCAGAGGAAGGAACTTCTTGCACCAGAAAGACAGAATTTCGAGCTAAAGTTGATCAGTCGAGTTTGCTGTGATGCCACTGTTCCTTGTTTGAACTGGTTGCGTTTTCTGATGCTTGGATTTTGATTGCTTGATTGTACATGGGGTAATTTCTTGTTTCAATTGTGTTGTGTGATCATCTTGTTTATTTGTAAAGGAGGAATATCATCGAGTATATCTTGATCTTTCTTCTTCTTCTCTACTTATCTTTTCCCTCAGTTCTTCTTTCTTTCACAAAAGAATCCTGTTACTTACAAAAAATTCAGAGAGATACACGCGGCCATGTCAACATCAACATACCTTAGTTTCACTTCTTCCTTGCAGTTCATTTCCACTGATATCATTGTGATTGTACCTTGGCTTGAATATCAATGGACTGGCCTCCTTTTCTTGTGTTGTTCCTCAAACATGAAATCATTTCAAGTAGGAGTTCAATATATCGGAAATCTGTGAAATGCTAGTCATGAAGACAGTCAAGTTGGAACAACTAGAACTCGCGGAACTATGATTATCTGAAATACTTGACAACCAGAACACAAGAAACTATGATATCTGTGATACTTGAATCTGGTTTAGTCTGCTAAACCAAATCGAATGCAAAATCATATGGAACAGATCATATCTAGTCGGTGTTGAGTTCCAAATAAAATGCTTCTGCAACATCTTGACATTATTTTGCATGGCCTGGTAACGTCGCAGAGGTATACTTAATAAAATCTCCTTTAGCCTAGGAATATCTTTCTCAGAAACAACCACAGAAAAAGCAGTCCAGTTTAAAACTTGGCTAAACGGAAGGGCGAAATTATCAGCAATGATAACCGGAACACACTCATAATATATTGCCTCGACAATCCTCGGGCTGTTCACTTCATAACCCATCGGGCAAAGGCAGTACTTGCTTGATTTCATGTGTTCAGGATAAGACATAACTTTTGAGACTCTATGGGGTAGAGGCCCGTAAATTCTTATGGATTCGTCTTTGTCCCTCCAATATTTGAGATGTTTTGGAAGAGATTCTTTCTTGTCTGGTGGAAAGAAAAGAAGAAAAAAACTTTTACAATTTGATTTTACAAAGGATTGAAAGAGATAAGCCGAGGGTCCCTCTCTACCTCGCAAAGGTAGGGACAAGGTCTGCGTAAATCTTCCCCATCCCAAACCCATACATGTAAGATTACAGCGTGTATGTTGTTGAAGTATATATTAGTATTGCCCATAGCCTCATACTCCTTTATTCAAATGCATTTTTATCAATTTGGGTATTATTTTTTTTATCAAATGAAGGGGTTTCATCGATGATACAGCTGTTGTTCTGAAGCAGAACGAAAGAATAAAGACAATTATGTTCATCAAGTTAAGAATGGAACAATTTTTTACAAGAATAAAGTATTGCTTCTTTTCCTTGCTATATATATGTTTTGCTTTGTTGATTAAAGATATTTGTATTTGCCTTCAATTTTACTTATTCTATTCTTTTCCACTGCTATAAATAATGAAGAAAATATCAGTTTAATGCATTCTAATCAGACACATACCTTCTTTTTTTTTATTTAATTACCTCAAGAACTAATCGTTCAATGGATATACTTTTTAATGCTGTAGGTGGATTTGTTGTTGAAGTGGGAAAGTTTGTTTCAAAATGCATTTATCCTAAGATTGAAAATATTGTCCGTTTCTCATCAAAAATTGAAAATCTAAGGGAGGAAATGGGGAATCTAACAAAGTTTAGAGATGAAATCAAAGGAAAGACGGAGAAGGATGAGCGAGAAGGCTATAAACCAAAGCCAGAGGTTGTCAAGTGGATCGAGGATGTTTGCGAGCTGCAGAATGAATGGGAAGATATGCAACAACGCGTTGCAGCGGCTAAGACGCTTGCATATAAATGTTGTCCAAAATGCAGCCTTCGTTTGGGAGTCACCACTCAAGCACACAACATACGACAACAACTTTTCAGTCTTAAACAAGTCGGAGAAAGCTTTGGATCAAATTTGGTGGTAGAAAGTTACCAGATGAAAAAAGTTGAGTTCATCGCGGGACCATCAATAAAAGGTCAGTCAGCAGCAACAAGGAATCTCAACGAAATCCTACGACTATTGGAAGATGATAAGGTAATGTTTGAATTAATCCAAAATCTTATATTACGAATTGCATACTTGCTAATTTCATTAATTCCTATCTAAATAGATTTTATAGTCAAAAGTAGTTTTGTTTTTCATATTATGTTCTAATAATTGAATAGTTCTCTCAAATCGTTCTATATATAGAATTGTGTTTTACTTATGAAGCTAAGATTAACTCCAAATAGAACTACAATTCCAATCGTTTCCCAATAGAAATGAAAATCAAATAAGGAGAATAGTTTCAACAAATTTCCCCTTTAGCCAAGGGGCTAAATGGACTTCAAGTGGAGGAACTTTGCTCATTTCTATAAAACTCTTGTTTGTCTATGATTTGTAAGCATATCTAAAGGATTATGCTTCTTCCATTCTACTTTGGGAAACTGGGACACAAAGGAGATATAAACAAATATTAGATGGTCACTCAATTAAGAGCTCATTTCACAAAAAAGTTACTCTATCTATCTACTTTTATTTGTCATATTGTGCTTTTTGAAAGTTAATTGAATTTTTTTTCAAAGTTAAGTTAGATTATATTAATTTGAGTTTTAAACTAAAACAATTAGATGTTCAAAAACTATATGAAAAGTACTATACATTGCAATTTTTTACATATCAATATGATGAAATAATATGACAATTAATAGTGGACCGATGGAGTATTCAAATTTCTCTATAACCTCAAAGTGATTCAATAACTACATCTGTCCACTTTCAATTGTCATGTTGCGCTTTTCTAAAGTTAATTGACTAATTTTCCAAGTTAAATTAGATTGCATTAATTTGATGTTTTAAACATAAAAAAAAATAGATCTTCAAAAATTATACGAAAAATACTTTAAATTTAAATTTTTTGCATCAATGTAATGAAAAAATGTGTCGTAAAATGTTAGTCAAAATTCTTATAATTTGACTCTAAAAAAAAAGGAAACCATGACAAGTAAAAGTTGACTGAGGAAGTATTTTTTCTCTCACCGTAATTGACTTTCTTTTATAATTTCAAAATAATCCAACTATGAATATTTTGTCTACAAAGTCACTCAATTATAAATATTTTTACTTAAAAAGCCACCAACAAATTTAAATGATTTTTTAAATTAATTTTTCTTGAAATACAATATTTGTTTTAAACTATTTTCTTTAAGAAAAATAATAAGATGTTCATTTTAATAAATTTTGTTGAAACACAAATTTTGTTTTGAACTATTTTAAATAATAATAATAAGATACTCATTTTATTGAATTTCATTAAAATGCAACTTTTTTATAAAACTAATTGTTAAAAAGAATTGTTTCAACAAAATTTATTAAAATAAACATCATGTTATTTTTTGAAAATGTTGTGTTACTAGAAGTAAATTAAATTCTTACGGAAAAAAATGAGTAGGTAATTTTATGGGTTCGTCAACTCCATATTTATTGTAATTTGGAAATGAGTTTAGAACATTGACTACTAACATTAACTCTGGATATAAACTGGGACAATTGAAGAGTACTACTAACAATATTGAGGTTTACATAAAGTTTTTTTAGCCAGTATAGTGCTAGTCTAGGGAGGTACTTCTACCTTTTTCTTTGAAGTTATAAAAGAAACTTGAGTGATTTTCTATGAGAAGAACTCTTAGTTGAGTGACGTTATGTGTGAGGAAATCTATAGTCTATATAAAATAGCAGAAAAGAAGTATAATGAGAAAAACTTCCGCGCTAGCCAACGATCGTTATCTAAGATCGGAAGATTTAATTAACAAAGAGGAAGATAGAAAGGAGAAGACCTATATTTTGAAAAGAAGAACTTGGTTACGGAAGAACACTCTTTGATTTGGGTTGTTTACAGATGACAATGATCACCCCTATTTATGTTTTATGTTGCGATGAAAAAATAAATACGAAAATCCAAAAATAAAAAACACCAAGTTTATCGTGGAGAAATTCTTCAAACCGAAGATAATAACCGCGGGATCGACAAAATCCGAACTGCTTCACTATCATAATAAGAGGGTTACAAATTTTCTCCTAATGACCACAACAAGTGCCAAAAGTGAAAAACAATAGCTGCACCAACAAAATATAAATATAAAGAAAATCACTCAAACCCAGCTATTGTTAAGGATCTAAATCCGATCTCCACCATTCCAATCAAATGCTGAGGTGTTAGGAACATTCTGTCAAAATTTCAGCCCAATCCAACGGTTAACTAATCGAGTAACACAATCTGAAGGTTGCTAGTCAGAGAAAAAAATTCTCTACCATCTCTTGTTGTAAGCTCTCTAAAAAAAGCTCTTTTATGTCCTAATGTCTTTCAAAGATAATACTAATGACAACTGAATAATTCTCTCAAACCGCCCTATTTGTAGAGTTGTGCTTTTCCTTATATAGCTAAAATCAACTCCAAATAGAACTACAATTCAAATCATTTTCCCAATAGAAATGGAAACTAAATAAGGACAATAGTTCCAATTTTTTTCCAAATAGGATTAGACCATGAACCTGACTAGAACATGAGTCATAGTCCAACAAATTTCCCCTTCAACCAAGAGGCTAAATGAAGTTCAAGTGGAGGAACTCTTAACAGAATTCACGCCTGTAAAACTCATGCTTATCTACAGTCACCATTTTTGTAAGCATGTCTGAGAGATTGCTATGATATTTTAAGTTTTCAGTTGAAGTTAGTATGAGCATTGTTATACTAAATTGTATGAATGTTTTAGGTTTGCATCATCGGAGTGTGGGGTGCGGGAGGAATCGGGAAAACAACTCTGGTGAAGAATCTGAACAATGAGCTACTAAAGATTGACGTCTCAATTAGGCCTAAATTGTCTTTTGGTGTTGTGGTATGGGTTACTGTGCCCAAACCGCCAATAGCCATAAGAAAAGTTCAAGCACAAATTGCTGACAGATTAAACTTAAAGGTAGATGCTGAGGGATCTGAAGTACGCATTGCCAGCAAAATCTCTGAAAGGCTGAAGCAGGAAAAGAGTTTCCTTGTGATACTAGATGATGTTTGGGAAGCTATAAATTTGGATGATGTAGGCGTGCCCCAACTCAAAGGAAGCAAGGTTATTATAACTTCTCGTTTTTTGGGTGTTTGTAAGAAAATGAAATCAGACACCGAAATGAGTATTTCCACATTGGATGTGAATGAATCTTGGGCTCTGTTTATGGAAAATGCGGGAGATGTTGCCAATCGGGTGGATATTGAGCCATTGGCAAAGAAAATTGCAAGAGAGTGCGATGGTTTACCATTAGCAATCATTGTTATTGCAACATCTATGAGAGGGAAGAATATGGTCGAGCAATGGGAAGATGCTTTGGATTCACTCAAAAAGTCAGAACCTAATGACAAAGACACAAGAGAAAAGGTTTACCAGGTGATCAAATGGAGTTTTGATTCTTTAGAGCAAACAAGAAATAGGGACATTCAAAGTTGTTTCTTGTATTGCTCCTTATATCCAGCGGCTATTCCAACTGATGATCTCATACGTTGCTGGTGGGCAGAGGGGTTCCTTGGTGAACATGACACATATGAAAATGCCTACAACAGGGGAATCACGACTATTGAGGAACTGAAAGACGTCTGCTTACTAGAAAAAGAAGCCCATGATTGTGTGAAGCTGCATGATGTGATTCGTGATGTTGCAAAATGGATCGATGATTCCTCGGGGTTAACTGATATTTCACGTCTTAAACTAGTGTCAGCTTCTGTCAAGAGATTATCTTTCATAATTCAAGATCTACCTAATAACTTGACCAAATGCCCAAAGGCAACATCTTTACTATTGCAACACAATCGTTACCTTCGCAAAATTCCCCAAACTTTTCTTTTGGCATTTCCAGCTCTAAGAGTTCTGAATCTGAGCGGATCTCGTATTAGAGAACTACCTTGTTCCATCAACGAGTTACATCAACTACGTGCTCTGATACTACAAAGGTGCTTCATGTTGGATGAGTTACCAGCTATTGGTAATCTTTGCAATTTGCAGTTGCTCGATTGTGATGGTACAAAGTTATGTTGTATGCCGGAAGGAATGGACAAGTTGACAAATTTGATGCTATTAAATATGCCTTTGTGTGGGTTTAAGGACAACATCGACCTGGGGGTTTTCCACGAGTTGCAAAGGCTTGAAATGTTACATCTATCCATAAGCGAAAGAGGTGCTGTCGGAGCAGCTTGTTTTGATGAGATATCACATCTACCCAATCTGAAATCCCTTTCGATTTACTTGGATAGATCATCAATTTCAAATATGAAAAGTGACCAGACCTGGATGAGAAGATTGAAAAGATTTCACATTACAGTTGGGAAAACTACAACTCCTGAGGAGGTATCATTCGACAATAATTCAACAAGGGCGATACGCCTCTTAGGTTTTGACATTTTCAATAACAAAGTCTGGGTCTCAAGCATGTTGCAGTTTGCTTCAGATTTGTACTTGGAAAACTGCATGGGTATGACGGAGTTCATCCGGAACCACAGTTTTGATGGATTAAAATCACTATGCATAATGAACTGTTCTTGTGATTTTGGAGCATTTACAGAAGAGTGTGATGATGATCCTTTGCCAAATCTGGAGCATCTCAAAATCTCTTATGTTAATGATATAATGAATGTTCCTCATTTTGGTCAACTTCTGGGTCTTAGATTTTCTAAATTACGCAAATTGGATCTACACCATTGTTATAGTTTAACATGTGTTTTTTATGTTGGTAATGGTTTTTCTGTACCCAGGCACTTGGAAGAAATTTCAGTTTCCGAATGTGGTAATCTGACAGAGTTAGTGGAACAATTGGGCTCAAGCTCAGAAATTCCAAGAGTCAGAAAGTTATGGTTGTATAGTTTAGTCGCATTAAGAAGGTTTGGGGAGGCAGAGCGTATGTGGGAACATCTTGAGGAACTTTACGTGAGAAGTTGCCATGAAATAATGAAGTTGCCTCTCTCTATTCAAACCTCCAAAAACATCAAAACAATAAAAGGAGAACCAACATGGTGGAGCCGACTGGAGTGGGATGACCAAAAATACAAGTCAAGTTTAGAGCATTGTTTTACCAAAATACCATGGTTTTTAACGAGAGATGATTGGTTTTAAATGTATTAACATGAAATTTGAGGTACCACGACTTCTTTAATGGTTAATTCGTTTTATCTTGGGAGGATTTAATCAGTAACATCGAATACTTGAGGGGATTAAATTTCTTAAGGACACAGTGAATTCTGTGGACTCGAATACTTCTTTGTGTTTTTCTTTTCATCTTTTATTTCTTCTTATTTGCTAATTTGAATACAGGAGTTAACATAAATTACCTGCAATTCCATGTGTGAGTTTATTTTATTATTATGAGTGAACATAATATTTTAGATTTCACTTCTAGGGTTGGGGTACAATGCACTTTTTTATTATTTGATTGTGGTCAAGCCAATATAAATGTCATTACATTCATATTCACAATTTGTCATCTGGGCTGCGGTTTGAGGCAACTAATTATGGGATTAAAGATCCTTTCATGTATTAGTTTTGTCATGAGTTAAATGAATCTAAGGATAATTAGTTATAAAGGGGTACCACGTAAATGAGATAACAAACATTTATGTCGGTGTAGACAGTAAAGTTTTATTGATAAATTCATATTAAATTTGAGTTAAATTTTAAATCACCATACGTTGACCAACTCAAATTACTAGTTGATAAAGTCAGATTAATATCTAACTCAAAATTGTATGACTTAAATTAAGTCCAAATCACTTGGGCCAGTCCATTAAGTTGACAAGATGAGCCCAACTCATGTTCTTCAAGCCCAGGTAAAAATTGCTCACACTAAAATACCCCTAAAGCCCTAACTCAAGCCTATATAAAGAGGTCATCTTCTGACCAAAAGACACACAAATGCATACATACAAAAATACATAGTTGTTCTTCAGTGGTGAACTTCAAGTCTTCGCTCCAAGTGTGGAGCCCAAGAGGATTACATTTTTATTAAAGATTTCATAAAGATTGTAACCTTCTCATAAATTCAAATTCAAATATTATTGTTTGCTTGCTATTTTTCCTTTTCTGTTTGTAATTTTTCAGGGATGAAACTTTAGAAGCATACAAATTGAAGTTTCCTTTAATGAGACACTACCTGTCTTTGAATATGTCAAAAATATGATTAAATTGATGCTTCAGTGATGCACAGACAAGTTGGCTCTGTCTTTCGATCGCTGGAATTCTTTTTTGGAAAAAAAATTGATTTTAAACATAATTATGACATTATCTAAATTTATTGTTACCTAACAAATCAAACTATACCCATGAAATGTAATTATGTAAACTATAACCATTTAATGTTATTTCATAAAATAAGTTTGACATATATGAAATTTTCCCTTATAAATACATACAATGATTACGAAAGAAAAACACATTAAAAATCACCTCAAACTGACTTTTCTAGCTCCGAAAATATCAAAAATATGAAATGGGTTTAAATAGATATTTAACTCATCATTTTCCTCATTAAAACCCATGTGTCGTCGCTAAGAGTCTATTTTGTCACCACTTAATGTGTACACAAGCAACCTTGAAAATATCCTTTTGACCCTTGAAACTCATTCGGAATCCTATAAATATGAACCAATAGTGGAACCAATGGAATTGTTGAATTTCCAAAAAAAAAAAAAAACATGGTTATAATCAAAATACCCTTGACAACCCATCTAGATAAAAAATTTAACTTTTTACCTACATATCCAAATCACAATTTAAGATCTTGGGACTCCAACCGATCATCTTAATAGAGCAAACTCGAAATTCTGGAGTGATTAAAGTTGATGGAATTCCCACACAACGCTCGAAACTCATAAGGTTAACTAAAGTCAACCATATCAAAAAATTTCGAACTCAGAATTTGAATTTTGCGCTAACTTAGGACTATTCTAGCTTGTTACGTCGGCCTGCTATTTAGTTGTAGTTGGATTTCAGGTGTTTGAAATGCTCGAAATTTTGATTTATTTGGTATGACAGAAGTCATTCTTCATTTTGAGAGTTTAGTATTTTCAAGAAAAACTTTGATTATAGATCGACAATAAAGAATCAAATGAAAGAACTTATCTGCATCCGGTATATACACCAGAACAAAACATTTAGCCTTAGCAATTAAAAAGTATACCAAAAAACATTAATAATAATGTAGATGAAAGTCATGTGAAAGTTACCTTCTCTATAACAAGTTCTTTTGAATAATTTATAAGTATATTTACAGAATCCATAACCTATAGATTACACATATACACAAGACAATACTGATTTGTGATGCTAACTGGCTTGACAGTTCAAATTTGGATCATCAACAGTGTTAAAATACAATGTAGAAAGTTTGTCATCAAATTTGGAAACCAGTTGATGGACAGACAATCCGCAGTAGCGCTTCCCTAGTCTAGCGATGAAAATGTCGATTATTTTCTTGAACATGTCGTCTTCTTGGATTAGAGGTTGCTCCACAAACTCAACTAGAGGCATCCACTGTACCGATAACAGAAAAGACAGCTCGAGTAAATGCCAAAGTCGCATAAAGCTGCAGACTTTAAGTCTTAACTCAACCTTGAAAGCTAGCTCATGAGATGACGATTGTCCCAAAATATATAAGGAGACAACATCACATTTTCCCGGTTCTGAAACTAAACAGCTGATGTGTGGACAATATGACATGCAGAACCAACGTTGAGACACACAAGAATAAGGACGAGTTTGGATGTGGTATAATTTTAAGAAAAATGGACATCAGGTCTAACTCAATCTCAAAAACTAGCTCATCAGGTGAGTATTACACAATACGATAGGCTTACCTTAGCATCCTGAATTTCTAGATTATCAACCATGATCTGTTTTGACAGGGGCCTTAACAGGCAGATGAAGAACAAATCCGACTTTTGAAAGGCCACATCGTGAACATGCCTGAAGAAGCACATCGATAAATGTTAATTTAAACAATGGTATCTTGTTTGTAAACTGTAAAATCAACACTTAAAGAGTCCAGAACTAATGTATATAGCATTAGATAGAGCAAGAAGCTGAATAAAGCTTGAAATATCCTAAAGGAGACAGTAAAATCTAGCAAATAGAAACTCCACATTCTCTGTGTATGAGCCAAGTTGTTCGGATACTTATGGTGTAATATATATAAGATTTCTAATATAGCTCTTCCTATCGATAAAAATGTGCAACGTATATGATAAACTCATGGTTCTTTGAAGAGGAAGAATGTGTTACCTGAAAGCCATAACCTCCACAAATTCAGTATCAATCTGGAAAAAGTAATGAGAGAAGAAATAAACATTGTTAGATAACGATTGGTTCGTTATATGTTGCTAGTTTAGGAAGGCGAATACGTTTAAGTGAAAATTGCTTACACCAGTTTCCTCCTGCACTTCTCTCACAATTCCTGTAAAGATCTCCTCGGACTGAGTTTTGACGCAAAAACTAAACCGAGTAAGTGTACTGATTTCATGTTTCAATCTTTAACAAAGTCAAAAGTACCAAAATGGTAAGGTGAAATTGCAATAGAGGAGGAACATACCTCATGAATAAAACCAGTTGGTATTTTCCATAAGCCTGAAAGAGCCGGCGTAAAATGTTTCTCTTGCACGACAAGCACCTAAAGCAGTAATTTTATTAGCCTAAGGATACAGAAGCTCTACTAATTCGGAAGGCATTGCAAACAGAAAAACATGCACCTCATCTTTGTCGTTGATCACAAAACCCCCAACTCCCACTTGATGTGATGCATTCGAAGGAAGCAGACAAGGTTCCTCCGGAATCCAATATGTCATCATAACATATCCTCTTTCTGCATGATGGTATTGAAATCCTTCCTACAAAATTTAGAGTTCGATCGTTACAGAATCACTACAGCTGTATGCTAGCCAGAGAGTTGGTACGGGTGAGTAATTTCTTATATCGATTTGGGTAAAGTGATAGTACGAAATACCTTTACTACAATTCATCAACGAAAAAGGAAATACCTTTACTGCAACAGGAACTAGATCGCATTTTTCTAGTGGTAGCTTAAGCCAAACTCCCTTCTTCCCCTGCATCATCGGTATCCATCAATGAGCAAAACGTGTCATATAAGCTTTTACTTTCAATACACCAAAAATTACTACGCCTCATTCCTAAACAATTTGGGGTTCCGTCTATATGTATTCACCAGACTATCTGGTACAAGAGTTGTCTATAAAATAACAAGAAATGTGGTGTCTCTCACTCGTGTATTAATCAACACCAGACAAGAAATCGAGTCTTGAAATTTGAGACTAGTATAGTATAGTAGTTGCTGGAAATGAAGTACCTTCACTTTCCAATGAGAGAGAGATGCACGAAGAACAAAGGTGAATTTATCGCGATCAGATGGTAGCCTATCTGCATTGACGAGTACTCCTCCATATTCATCATCAGAAGAATCAAGCAACCATTTATCTCGAAAATACAACCTCGTATGGTTTGTACCATTTATCTTATAAGAGAAAGTATCCTCTAATAAATTCTTCTTGCTTACTGATCTTGAAGCATCATAAGAAGTGCTTGAATAAGAAGCCTTTGTTAACAGCCCTGAAGTTAAAACAGAAAGTTTACAAACAAACATTCGAACTTCATTTTGAGATATACAAACAGCAACATTTTCTTATTTAGTAGCAGCAGTGGCGTTATCTAATAGCGCCACTGCTGCATTAGAAACAGGACATCATTCTTTAAAAGCTAATGATGCATTTCGTATTGCCTTATTATCGATTGTTCTACTCCGAGTTCATGCTTCCTTGCTCAAAGATCATAATGTAATAGCATAGTAGCTCCTTTAGAGCGGATTTAAACAGAACAAAAAGACGGGAAATCTCTGTTTTCACAAAAATACTACTCTCTCCGTTCCATTTTATGAAGAAGCATAACTAATTTAGCTTTAAATGACCTGATTTTATAGCCACGGAAACGTCATGACATGTTTAAGATCGTTTCCAAAAGTCAGTCATTCTATTTTCGACTTAGTATTCCGTCAAATACCTTCACACAAATTGAAACAAACAGAGTAAAATCTTCTTATTCCCTTACAAAATCAGAAAAATAAACTTCTCATTGACTCCAAAAAGGAAAAGGTCCACACCGTTAAGTAAATACTCTATCCGTTTTAATTCGTTTGTCTTTCTTTTCCGTCCGTTAAAAAAAAGGTATCTTTTAGAACTTTCTCGGCAACCACGATTCAAAAGTCTTACATATTTACTTTCTTAAATTTCGTGTCGAGTCAAAACCAGA